CCGCTCCCCTCAGGCGGGCCCGCACCTCCCCAAGGGGCACAACATGGCGGACACCGCGCAACGCCCGCGCAGGCCTCGGCTCCCCCGTCCCCACCGCCTGAGGCACCACCGGTACCGCCGCTCCCGGGGCACCGCGGTCCTACCTGCTCGTGCTGCTGCCGTGCGGGCTCCTCTGGCGGAAGGACATGGCGCGCGGTGTGTCCGGGATGGCGGCAGCGGGCTGCACGGGAGCGGTGCGGTTCGGCGGCTCTCCTTCCCGCTCAGCCCCTTCGCATCTCCCGCCGGCGCTGACTGACGCCCCTCGCCGCGCCTCCCGCAGAGGAGCTTGCGCCGGACTACTCCATGAGGACAGGTATGGGGGGGGGGTGAAGAAGGGGAAAGCGCAGCCTCCAGCTGGAATCCTCCCCCCTCCTAACCCCGCCGAGCAGAGCCGCTGCCGGGCATGAAGCGAACACGCTGTCAGCCGCGGCGCTCCCTCACAGGCAGCCCCAAAGACACCTACCATACCATACCCCCCCCCCCCCCCGGGTGCAATGGTTTAGCCCGCTCCCCCCGGCCCCGCCCCTTCACGGGGCGTGCTGGCGGGAGAATCAAGCGCGCGGTTTTGGCGCGCTGTGGGGGGGAGCGGGAAGGCGGCGGTGCTTTAATTAGCGGGGTTTGTTACCGCACACGCGTGGTGCTTGCGCAGAGAGAGCCTGTCCGTGTGAGGGATGCGGTGTGCGCAGGGGTTTTACATCGGTCATTTGGGAGCAGCCCAACTCCTGCCGGAGAGCGCACACCTGTGCCAGCGGGACACTCGAGACATGTACAGTGCTCCTTCCGGACTCAGAGCCACAGAATCATTCAGGTTGAAAAAGGCCTTGAAAACCACAGAATCCAACCGTTAACCCAGCACTGCACGTCCACCACTAAACTGTATCCCTCAGTGTCACATCTACCTGTCTTTTAAGAACCTCCGGGGGCAGTGATGCTTCCCTGGGCTTGACAACCAATGCTTCCAATGCTTGACAACCTTTTCAGTAGATAAATTTTTCCTGCTATACAGTCTAAATCTTCCCTGGCAAAACTTGGTCATTTCCTCTTGTCTTACCACTTGTTATGTGGGAGAAAAGACTGACGCAGACCTCACAGAAGCCTCTCTTGACTTCTTGTAACTTCATCACTGCCTCCCTGAAAAATCAATAATGGATGGTAATCTGAGGGATGTACAAGGGGTAGGAAACTTTCTCCTCACATCTTATCTTTAACCTAGGCTCCAAGGGAGGCAGCAGACTTCCTAGGAAGTGAGTTCTGTCTGCTGCGTATTGGGCCTTCTCTTCCCTGCAGGTGGGATTCTCCTATGACCATGACCCCATCTTCTTTTACCCTGTGGAAGCAGTTTTGACACAAACCTGGGTGAAGTGAAGCCAACTGTCATTACTCTGACAGGCTCTATTTGAGTAACGCAAGATCGGCAATGAAATGTATTGAATGAATGGCAGAAGTAGCAAACAAAAGTGGTGTTGGGTATTTTCTGAGCAGCTTAAGACAAAAGCAACTACCAAAGCCCCCCAGTGAGAAGTACCATTTACAGGTGGCATTTGTTTTCATTTGATTTTATGAAGATAATTCATGCATAGCAAGGTTGAAGTGGATGTTGAAAAGGAGAATTTGCATCTCTACTGGTGGAGCATGGTTTCACAACTGTCACGTAATCAGTTATAGAAATGAAAGATGCCTCCTACTTTGGCTTGTTTCTGGTCATAATTTACACAGATTCGGAGCTCCCGTTGTCCACAAGCTGCATAGAAAGAACAGAGGCACCAGGCAGGGTGGGCAGCAGTACAAACCTTTGAGCACTAGGAAGAATGAATTGCCTGTACAGCATAACTGTAGCTGAAACAAGTGTTGCTTTGGATCCATATTAAGCAGTCCTCAGACGAACTGCACACCTGCAGTATGCAATACCTTTTAGTATTTCTGCCTCTTCTTCACCACGTGCTCCCATGAATTCCAGGTCTCTAGACTGAAATCTTGAGTAGTTCCAGGAACTTCTTCCCACTTCCTGATTCATCTTGAGCATTGAACAGAACAGCCGATAGGAACATCTCAGCTGAAATGTGGCAAATAACTAGTCCTTCTTAATCCCCTTTTCAGTTTGCAGATATAGAAGGGGGCTTTAACCACAGCAGTTCAAAGCCATACAGCACAATATCTACAGCTGTGTTTAACTCTAGGTGTGAAAGCAAGGATAAGAAGGCAGATGAGGGTGCCAGATCAGCATCAGTAAAACCTGCTGAGTTTTCTCCTACCAGAGATCACTGCATTACATGTGAGATCTTGAAGGCCAAGAGGAAGCACCTGCTGCTCAGTGAGGCTCAGGATCACTCAGATGTGTCAGAGATCCTCTTCACGGTGAATTCACAAAGCTCATTGCACATTGTCTTGTTAAAAGTGAGAGACATTCACACTTTGTTCTGAAAAGGCAAAAGCTAAAGAAGCCATTATCAGACTGCTCCCTGCCAGCCTGCCTTGGGAAACGTTCAGACAATCGTTTGCCATGGTTTTGGCATTTGAGCACTCTGAGGTCTCACCAGCTGGTTTACTCTCTATTGTTTTTCTTTTCATTACTTTTTCCTCAACTTTTTAATGGTTTTACACTTTTTTTTCCCCCCACTGAAATGTTTCACTTCTACAAATTGGATCTGCATTCGCATTATGTATGTGCATCTCAAAGACTCCTGGTAAATATGTTTGGAAATGGTGTTTTCCTGCAGTTTTTGCCCCAGAGACCTCTGTAGTAGGGTGTCTTCAAAACCCCTGCCTCTGGGTGGTAACAGTCACTGGCTCTATGCACAGTGAAACACTGAGACCTGAAAGTAGTAGTGTAAGGAATTATCTTGGGCATTTGATTCCCTTTGCCTATAATTGTACAAACTCTCACATCTTCTGTGTGGCATCTGCATAAACATCCACGCTCCAGCAGGGATGTTTGCTATGCTAGCACCAATCCTTTCCCACACACTGCTACGGAAAACAGAACTGTGTTGCTGCACCAAGGACATGCTGGAAGGACAACATAGGTTCAAAACACGTAAGAACTCCCTTTCCTCCAGCCTTGCTTGCAGATAAGCTGACTTAACAGCATGTTTACCTGAACACATCCAAGGAAGCCAGAGAAAGGACAACTCCAGCATGGACACCACACAGTACTCTGAGCATAATGCTACTTACAAGTAAAATTCAGTTCATCCAGAACTATCTGCTGTAAACACACCCTAGGGATTACAGCTGCCTTCCATCTTGCCATCCTTGTCAGCAAAGAAAATCCTTCGAAAGCACTTCACCACAGTGGGAATTTTAAGGGGAGGAGGGAGATATCCTCATCACTGTGACCTGCAAAGAGCAGCTTTAAAACCGAAACAAAGTACACATCACAAATGGCATTCCAGAATTGCTAGGGAACAACTGTTCCTACAAGCACAGATAACATATCACCCACGAGGAGATTCTCCCAGCACAAGCATGCCAACAGAAGATACATGGAAGAAATTTCAAGCTGGCTGATGAAGTTCAGAGCACATTTCAGCTTAATTACAAACTGAGCACAGATTTATGCAAAGTGGGTTTAATTAAAATGGGTGTCGTGGTTTAAGCCCAGGCGGTAAATCAGAACCACGCAGTCTACTCCAGCCCTTTCTTCCCCACTACCCTCTCCCGGAGGGACAGGGAGGAAAATCAAAAGAATGTCACTCCCATGGGCTGAGATAAGAGCAGTCCAGCAACTAAGGTATAACACAAATCACTGCTGCTACCACCAATAATAATGATAAGGGAAATAACAAGGGAAGAGAATACAATACCACCCATCGAAACCCAGCCCAACCGAGCAGAGAACTAGCCGATCCGGGTAACTGTCCCCAGTTCTATATCCTGGGCATGACGTGCTGTGGTATGGAATACCTCTTTGGTCAGTTTGGGTCAGGTGTCCTGTCTCTGCTTCCCCCCAGCTTCCCCTCCTCCCTGGCAGAGCATGAGATTCAGAAAGTCCTTGGTCAGACCAAACATTTGAGCAGTAACTAAAAAGATCGGTGCTATCAGCGCTGCTCCCAGGCCAAAAGTCAAAAACACAGGGCTGCAACAGGAGAAAAAATGACTGCTACTGCTGAACCCAGGACAACAGGTAACACTGATGTAAGGCTATCAAAACCAAAGTGGGGGCAGAGTGACAGACTTCAGCTTTGCTTACCTGTTGTAAGATCATCTCAAATCGACTTGGATAGATAAGCAAGTGGAAGGACTACATTCCAGTTTTAACTGCTCTGTTCAGACTGATGTGGTTACTGCTACAAATTAGATGTTGTGATGGCTCTACATCTTCCAGTGGCAGCATGAAATGATTTCAGCAGACCTCAAACCTCATCTGCCCAGTTTCACTCTTCTGCTTTTGCTACCATAGGTTGTCCAAGTGTACAGAACCTAGATTAAGGAGTAAATCTGCCACAGTTTAACTGCCACAGGCAGATTGGTTATCCTGTTTCTAGTCTAAGTATCTTTAACCAAAAACTGTAAGATCTTTTAAGGACTGCTGAACAAATCCTATGGATCCACTTCAGGCTCCATCCACCATAGGCAAAAGCTTAAGGGCTCTTATATTTATACTGAGCTTAACTATTTCATGACAGCCTACTGCTGTCACCCAACTGCTCCATACTCTTGAGGAAGACATCTTCCTCATGCCAGAATGAGCACTATGGCTTCAGCTGCTCCCTTCCACTAGGTTACAATGCACCAAATATAACTTCATGACAAGATACCAAAATACAAACTGAGGGGTTGGGTACAAACCAAGTTGTGAACTCCCTTTAAGAGTTTGATTTAATCTCTGAAGCATCCTCCTACCCCCTTTTGGCAAGGGCTAAAAACCAACCCCAGAGAAACAAAACACCCTCACACAAAGAGGACTCCTGAACCCACATATTCCTTTTATAATGGAACTCAGTGTAACAGCAAAAGCAGAGTAACAGGAATTTTTAAAGTCTTTAATTCTTCTGCATAAAGACAAAAATGCCAAAAACATATCATTCCCTTATTTACAGTCATCATAAATCATGACAACATGCACACTGGAGAAAGAAGGTGCTAAATATTACTTCTTTAAAAAGTGCTGTACAGGTGTGTTCCTTCTATACACACACCCCATGCTCTGTGGTGTGCAGCTGAGCCCTTGTGCTGGAACACTACTGAACCCCATGCCCGAGCAGCCTGGAAATAATGTTTTGGAATGAACTGGGAGTAGTTTTGGGGAAGCAGCTTAGTTCCACATCAGTAGCACAATGGGCTTTAGGGCCTTGGGTACACTGCCAGCCCCAGAGCAAGGCTGATGTGTGACATCCCTGGCACTGCCATAGCTCTGCAGTGGCCCTGTGAAAAGCCAACCAAACTCCTGCAAAGAGCCAATTCCCAGCTCTAACAGACATTTGTGTCCCAGTACATGCTACATAAAATGCCACAAGGACTGTAAAACATTCTTGTAACTGGCACATGAAGCCGGTCTGAAGGCCATTATAGCCACAGCCCTCAATGAGCACAGTGCTAAGAGAATAAAACAAAGTAGAACCTCTTTCAGCACCATCACAATCCTTAGTCTGGATAAGAGCAGCTCTAAACCTGCAAATACTGCTGCTCACCTCCAGTTCCTGTAGGAACAGCAGGCACTGAACTCATTCTCTTATACACTTAACAGTAGATTGGCTCTTTGCATTAGGCTGCAACACACACAAAAGCAAATCCCAGGTATTTAGATTGTGTTGCTGTTCAGTCACTCATCCCCTTGAAGAGAAGGATCTGATTTTGATAAATCATCTGCCTTTCCTTTCTCTTCTCTCACTAGCTTAAGCAAATACTAACTTAACATATCTTATGTCAGAGAATGGTAAATAAGCCAAACAGAGGATCACCCAATCCAAAAGCTAAGAACAGATTGTCTCTAACAGCTGGAAAAAGGCTGAAATTATCTACATTCTTTTGAAACAGTTCTTCGGCTTGGATGTACAATTCTGGTCCAGTAGAGGAAACAGGGTTTGAACTCCTTGGTTTAAGAGGTGACATTCTTCAGTTTAACTTGACATTGGACCAGTTCACCAGCATAACACCAGTGTACTATAAGTAGCATGATCTCCAAAGAGCAACAGCAGGATCCATCAATCGAAGCAGCCTTTACAATATGATGCACGTCATCTGCCAACGCAGCTACAGCAGAAACATTCTCACAAAAGCTTTAAGGAACATCCACCATCATTGTAGCACAGGCTTAATGAAATCAGAATTACACTTGAGGCAGAGGTTGCAGAAAAAGTATAATCTATCCATAAGGATCTTGAAAAACCTAAACAAAGAGGTAGATAACAGTGGTTTATAAGTACGATGTATCAGAATCATAGATTATCTAGTCATTAACAACACTTTTAAGCTATAGTTACAGTCTGGAACACAGCACTGCATATGGTGAGATTAAAGCATTGTATAAAAGAAAAAGCCACACTGCCCATATTAAAGAAAGTGTTACAGATAGAATGGACATTTTGAGAACGCAAGTTATTGGAAACACAGAGTACTACATACCCTACAGTCCCAAAGTATCTATCAAAGCAAAGATGAAGCAGGTGAGCCTATCCTTCCCAACCCCTCACATCATTTTCATGTCATTATTAATTCATAATATACATTTTTCTCTCAATTCTAATTATCATATTCCTGCTATATCTTAAGTTTCCTACTGAGTAAGGTTTTTTCCTTTAAAAAGCAGCCAGATATATTAAAACTTACGGACATTTAATTGGGCTTTAAACCAGCCACATTGATTTTTCCTGTTTTAGATGGAAATTTTCTTCTAGCAAAAAGGCAGGTAGTGTGGAGTTCTACCACATACCCACTATCTGGTTTTCAAGCAATATTCACCTTCCACACATGAAGGAAGGTGAAGTTCCTGCCATCTGAGAGTTAGAGCTCACTGCATCCAAAAACCATGGTTAAAGGCAGCGTCTCTCTAAATACTGATCTTTGCATCCCAGGAAACCAATGCATTGCTCTATAAGAGGCTACTTAAGACACTTAACATTACATTTTACATGTCACAAAGATGTATTTTTAATTAGAACACGCGATTATGAACCCACTGAATATATGCACTCCTTAACAGAGCCTTATTTACAATGAAGACAACTGCAAAGCAGCCACACATCAACTAGCCAGAAGATCAGAAAGGCTCTCCTAACTGTAATGTGTAGAGAAATGCTTTCTTTACCTGCACATTTTGCCTTATGTTGATTGCACATATGCTGACTGTAAATGTCTTCTTCTTTCAGTGCAGGTCATATGCGACTGCACCAGTTTTCCAAGACTTGATCAGCTCATCTCAGACTACATCCCTATCCTTCAAATCATTTTCCATCACAGGAGAAAGTCCTTCTTCGATACTTCTATATACAAAGAGAGACTAGATAGTTCAAATACTGAATTAGCACTTTAGGAAAATGAATTCCCAAGAAATCTTATTCATGCTCAAAGAGTTTAAATTTAAGATATCAATAAAGTCAATAGAAAAATGCCATTTGCACAATTTAAAGGCTCTGCTTTTTCCTCTAACTGCTAGAAATCAAAAATCTATAGTGTAAAACTAATTGCATGCTATATTCTTAATGAGTTTTGTAATGCAAAAATATTCCAAGACCTCTGTTAAACAGACATTTATATCCAAGTCCATAATGCTTCAGAGCCTGTCTTTGATCTACATTTAATGCAATCAAATTACACAAAATGCTATCTGCCAATAAAAGCTGCTTGACTCAAGATTACCACCCATCCTATTAATCCCTACAGGAATCTAAGGTCCAAGAGAAAATTTCCATTTAAATCTACAGCTGCAAATGCACAATTGTGACTTCATGATAAAAATACTAAAAGACAGAAAACCTGTTACTGAAATATCTCAACGTGGTGCGTTGCATTTGGGTGATAAAACACATTTTTTTTCTGGCTGAACAGGTAAATATTTCAGTTTACCAAATCTGAAGTATTAGATCTTTTAATTAAGGTGATGCATTAAATACAAGAGAACGGGATAAAATACTAATACATGACTAAATAGAGAAACTGATCTGCTTGAACAGAACAGCTGGATTCCATAGAATGATATTGCATATGAGCTACTGAACCAGAACAGGTAAAATAAGTAGTCAGCTTGAACTCACCTTGGTATTTAAATGTTCTTCCTCATTATTCTCTCCCCAGCACTTCCCCATCCCCTTTCAGGGTACTCTGACTGATGTCCTTCCAACAAACTGCTACAAAGTTTAAGCCTACAAATATAAAAACCCCCAGAGACTGAGTGACTTTCTGATGGCAACCTTTTTATACTAAATACAGCTGCAACCTCTATTTACACTAATATAGACTACAGTGTGAGAATGTGACAGAATTTTAGCATGCAACACATAAATATTAGCCAACAGATCCCTAAGCAACATGGGGGAAACAATACAGACCTCTATAATAAAAGCTTAGATTGAAATACAGCAATAAAGCAACTATGCTTCTAACCTTCATATGCAAAAAAAGCCCCCCATTGATGAGCTGCATCTTAATACCTCTCAAGCCTGCAGTCTGTATCTCTCCAAGTTTTGCTGTCAGGCAGAAAGAAGTTGGGATTTTTCTGTTTCTGATTGTTCCATCCTGAAGAACAGCTGGCTGGAATTGGGTCACTGCATGAAGACAAAGAACTGTCATTGTGGTCAGCTACAAAATAACTTAATCTCTAGGGAGGCAGAGAGGAAGCTTTTAGCTCCTAGGCTGAGGAAGTGAGAGGCCAGTAAAAACAATAGGGACCAATTCTGTGAAATGCCATTGCTTTCCATGCAACAGAGAGGGTGAAAGGGGCTCTTCATCTTCCAGCATTACATAACAGCAGAATTGGCAGGAAGCAATAGATGGACTGGAAAAAGCCAAGTAAACTCAACAAAAATAACCAGAGATACCACATGTTGGAGGAAATGTAAGGGGAAAAAGTAGTATTAAATAGCGAAAGAAAAGAAAGATTAAAAAAAGCAAAGGACAGGACATTCACAGCACAAACAATAAAAAGAAAGTCACAATCATTACAGTATTTACCTTATTTCAATACCATGTTGTACTGTCATTACTTCATCGTGTTCACCAAAAGCTTCCCACTCTGAGCACTTTGAAAGAGCCTCCTGATCTCCTGATTCAGTAAGACTAAAAAGAAAGTGAAAAGGTCTGAAACCATGGACCTCTGTAACAGTTCCTCTTAATTCTTCTGAAAGGGGGTAAGCAGAGAAAGAAAAACACACCTCTACAAACATTTTTACAAAGATTAGTGTGAAAACCTTTCAATCACTGTTCCCTTAGAAAAGTGGAGCTGACAAAACTCTATACAGTTAAGCCATGCTCTCCTCCACACAGCCTATCATTTCTCATTTATAGAAAGACTTCCTATGCAGCAGCTAGGAAAGAGGAGCCTAAAACACTCGACCCTTCTGTTAGCAATTTTTGAACATTAACCTCACTTTGATCCAGTCCCAGGCTGGGTGACCAACTTCTTGTTGTTCCAACAAGTATTTTCTTCCATAACATCTTTCATAAGGCAAAGAGAAGCTTAAACATACACAAAGCTTCTTTCACACCCCTTCACAGATACATATTCTCTGTAACAACTGTAGCAAACATAACATGGAAATAGTTAGGCAGTGAGTCTCAGTATTTGCTGACCAACTTCTGAGGGCACAATGGGCTCCATTCCCTTATTGCAGTGTTCATCAACTTGTACACTCTGTCTGCCAAAAAGCAGAATGCAGTGCATGTAAAGCAGAATGCAGTGCATGGATGAGGTATGAGAAATAACTTGCAGATGCCTAACAATGTCAGAATTACAGCCTCTGAAGCAGAAACCAGGTTTTGTGAGAAATCAAAACCAATACATTAGCATTGCCTAAATCTACACACCCAAAATTACCTATGTTGTGTCTTCTGACACTGCAGTATCTTCACTTTTGCAATGGACCACTGTAAATATTTGTCATCATATAACACAATTCTGGTATGATATCACTTCCTCATTAAATTGCATGCACATTTAGATACAGTTAAAGCTATTAACAATTGGGGGGATAAATATGAATCATATTCCAAAATTCAGTTCATAATATCATTCTCCATATGGAGAATCATTTCATACCTTCCCAGTGTGTGGTACATCTGCACATAACGGTTTTCGCCCTTTGAAATCACAGAGGAGTCAGGATTGTTTCTTTTTCTGCGTTTCCATACGGGAGAAGAACCTGGAGAACAGGGACTATGAGAAAAGACAGATTTTACACACAAAACAATCTGTGTTTAAATGCTTATCAGTGTTCTGCAAAATAATGGCAAGTGCTACACAGGAAGACTTTTTTTGAGGTATGATTCTTCAGTCATAGCAGAGAAACAAGAGAAAATGGCTCAAATTCTGGTAACCACTTCACTGTATTTTGGACAGCAAACTCAGTCACAATCACAGAAGACACTTTGAATCAGAGACCATTTCAGCTCCACAAACATGCCCCCAGATCAAGATATCTCTGTGAACAGGGAAGTGCATGAGGTGCTTCACTTTCAGTATCCTCACTGTTCTGTGGATAGGTGTAATACTGTTAATTGAGGATGGTGACTCTTGCTTCTGAGAAAGGTTGCCTACTTTCAGCACCTGCTAGTAGTGCTTAGAGAAACCTCAGCACTCCATGAACAGAGGAGCTGAAAAATGACTGCTTTTTCTGCTGTTAATCATGCAGTTCTGCAATGCTGCTAATTCTTCCTCATTCAATGCTCTGTACCAGCGATGGGTTACATTCCACAGCAAAAGTGCCAAACCCTGAAGTTGACCATTAACTGTCCTTTCATTAAACACTTCCTACAAATAACTGACAGCATCAACATGTATTCAACCAATTCAGTAAGTTAACCATAGAAGTTCTCTCTCATACCTCCCTGGTGTGTAGTCAGTCTGTCTGCACTCATCTTCACACTCATTTTTCTTCTGCTTTTCGTCAAAAACAAAGGAGCCAGAAATATCCTGATCCTTGCAGAACCATTCCTGGGAATTATCTGAGGGTTCTGTACTACTAAAACCAGAGAAAAAAAGAAAGGATTTTAAATACCAGCCATCTGACTTGCAGTTTAAGCTGCAGTAATAATTAACAGTTCAACTCATATGACATCCAAATGGTGCAAACAACTTCTACCACAGGTCAACTACCCCACAGCTAATACTATTTACACAATGCAGTTACAGAGCTAATAGAATTCCATTCATTCTTTTTCTCCCCATGTAATAGTCCAAATCTTGCAAAGTATTAGGTGGCATCAATTTGGGGAGCTAGCCTTGTTACAGAAATTCATAGTTCTAAAAGGTAAGAAATGCCCCAATTTCCATCCTGAACACAGCTGCCACTCTCCTGTAAAGAGAGCTTTTTTCTCTGATCTTCTTACACTTTTCAAACGCTCTATTGCAGGAGAAAGGGGGTTCGCAGACATCAGTAGAAGGGAAGACAGACAGGTTAGCAAGTTCAGGGAACAGTAATCACTGATTTCCTGCTTCTGCCTATCCTTTTCTAGGAAAGTATTTTCTCGCTTTGCGCTCATCACTGTAAACCCACAGGGGAAGGGAGCGTGTTACCGCAGACAGACCAAAAGCCTTCCTCCCCAAAGCACCTTACTGGAGATGAATTTAGACTAAATAATGGGAATATCTCAAAAGACTAAAAGAATTCAGAAGGAAAACAAGGCTTTCAAGGAGACTGCCACTTCCGAGCCTGATAGCTTCTCTTGCTCCCAGTTAGCAATCCTCTAAAGGAAATACAGGGCCCTCCTGTGAAGCAAGAGACACATGATGATTTAATGCACCCATGACTTTAAGCTGAAAGAGGGTAGATTTAGATTGGATATTAGGAAAATACTCTTCACTATGAGGATGGTGAGGCGCTGACACAGGGTGCCCAGAGAAGCTGTGGTTGCCCCATCCCTGGCAGTGTTCAAGTCCAGGTTGGAGGGGGCTTGGAGCAACCTGCTCTAGTGGAAGGTGTCCCTGCCTATGGCAGGGGGCTGGAACTGGGTGAGCTTTAAGGTCCCTTCCCATCCAAACCATTCTGTGATTCTATGATACACACACAGGCTGGAGATCCCAGGTTTCTTCAGTAGGAGGATCCCAGGCATGCAGTGCTATCTTCCACAGCCTGATTTGCTGGTCCCAGGACCTACGGCTGTACTTCTTAAATTTGTTGGGAGTTCTAGGATGAACTCCTGGTATCCGTTGATTCCTGTAAATACACAACAACAGTTATTATTTCAGAACATGATTTTTGTTCTTACCTCAGTCCATCAGATCACACAGGCATCAGTGCTCTCATAAATAAAACATTTGTATTTTAAACTGAAATGTGTATACTCTAGAACACTGTCAAAAAGACGGCCAACAGCTAACAGCAGCACACTGAGTCACACCAGAGGTTCATCCAGTCCAGCACTCTGACACCTGCCAAAAGGAGACCCCTACTGCCCATGGACAAATATGAAACAGAAGAAGCATAACTCATACTCCTTCCATAGTATCCTAGCCTCCAGCTACTTCTACCTCAGTGCTCCTGAGTCAGGTGTAGTTTCTATATATTTAGTATTGTACTGAGTCTGGCTGTGACGGAGTCACATCAATACAGCGGACTAGTCCCTGTATTCATTTATGGCTAAAACAGTGCTAATAACACTCTTATTTTTGGCCACTGTTGAACAGAGCTTGCACAGCTTCACAGCCTTCTCTTTCTCCCATTCTGCTCTGCCCCCTTCTGCAGCTACCAAGCTGAGGATGAACAAAAAATTGAGAGGGGAAACTGCTGGGACAGTTGACATTCCAAACCAGATAATGTCACGCTCAGCAGTGAAAACTGGGGCAGAGGAAGATGTGTCTTCCAAAGTGGCCACTGCTCAGGCTGTCAGGGCACCAGTCTGCTTGTGGGAGCTAGTGAGTAATTGCATTTGCATTGCTTGGCTTTTTCCTCCCCTTTTCTTCACCTATTAAACTGCCCTTATCTCAGTCCCATCACTTTTCTTGCTCTTGCTCTTCCTATTCTTTTCCCATCCCACTGGGGAGAGGGGGGGAGCAAGTAACTGTTTGGGTATTTGGCTCATGGCAGGGATCAAACCACAAGTATCTTCAGTGAACTTTTATTCCGTCATTGTCCATGCATTATCACAATGGGGACTGCTGTAATTCTAAACAGCACTTGCCTCTTGGGAGTACAGAAAACAAAGCACCCCATTATCTGGGTAACATGCAAACGATACCCCTTTCCATGGAAAGGACAGACACTGTAACAATGCTGTTTGGGATCATCCCATGGCAGGAAGCGATGTTTCTCAGAGGGTATCTCAAATCTGGACCCTGAACATCAAACATCACTGGAAAGCTCACTTAAACTATCTCTTCAGAACAAACCAATCCTGTTTATAGTGCTACCATACTGGAGTCAGCTTTATGTCTGGGAGGAAGCTTATTACAATCTGGTTTTCAATCACACCAAGTACTTTGGTCTCAAGTGGTCCCTTACCAGCTTCACAGATCAATGTTCCTAGCCATAACACTTTTTGCAAGATAGAGATCCCTGCTAAGGAGCAGTATTATAAACTACTCTGTTAAGATACCACCTAGACAACTTTTTTTTTAAGTTTACTCCATAGTTTTTTTTGAACACTCTTCTCACCCTTTCCTATTCTCCACCTGTGATTCAACTGATGACAGCAAAGCTATGCAAGTGCCAGGCATCACCCTAAGACTGGCTGCAGTCCTACCATTGATGACAAAGCGACAAGCAAAACTACAATTCACAAAGCAATCCAAGGCTCTTTGAAGAAAGAAAGTGTTATTAAAGATATGACCATGATACCATGTAGTATCTGATCATTTATGGCATTTGTTGTTGATTTTTAGTCATTAAATCTAGTCTTTCAAGTTTTGCTCAACAACAGCCTTGCAGTGTCCATTGTACTTAGCTGCCAGTTTTCATAATAGACTCTTACAGGTAGAATCCATAGAAAGCTGACAACTATAAGTAGCTAGCCACATGTAAAAAACACCTCTAAAAATAACCCTCAAAACAATAACAAAACCCACACAAGCCAATCAAATGAGACCCACCAACCCCTCTCCCAAATGCAGATCCACACAGTAGTACAGACTAGCTTCTGAATCTTGACAGCTCTGCAGTAAGCAGAGGGGGCTGGCTAAAAAAATCTGGCTTAAAGTGCCACAATTCACAGACTCTGAAGCCCAAACTGAAAGGAAAAAATCCAGGTTTTGATCTGTTAGTTACTGATAAATCACTGAAGACTGGTTTTCCTTACCAATACTTAAATGCAAGGCTTTGCTCAAGCCTCATTCAAAGCTGGCATTTCCTGGTAGCAATTAATTTCTCACTGGCCTACCAACACAGTCACCAGAAACTGGGATGATTAATGCAGAACTTATTTAAAGCATATTTGCCATTAGCAACAGCAATACACAAAGGGAACATTCAGCTTTGAATTTTCCCTAAATTTGCTCATATGCAGAAAATACCTGGCTTCTCGTTCATAAAAGTCAATTATGTTTTCATCACTTACTGTTCGTACAATTCTAAGTGCATTGAAGATGTGTGCTGATCTATACAGATGGCAGGAAGAAGTAAGAGTTTATTTGGAAATGTGCAACGTAGAGGAACTTACTTCGGAACTTCTTTAATATATCTGTCATAAGCAAGAGTATTCTTTCCAAAGTTGATCTGTTTTTGTCTTCTCCTCAGAACCACTTCATCTGTTTCCCTTTCAGCTGGATTAGCAGAATCACTTGAAACAGAATTTAAAAGCAAAAATTAGAATTAAGTTGAAAAGAGCCTTGCAGTAAGTTATAAAAACACATACTCCAGAACTGTGCTTATTCCTACTCTGACAGACAGTAAGCACAACTCTTACTTCACTAGTGAAGTGAAAATTGTGCTAAGCAAATGAATCACTCCATGATTAGGTTTTGCAAGTTGATTAAATTGCTCAGGTTTGTAACAGGTTGAGGTTAGTGGTGCTAGAGCTGCCTTACTAGAAGCTTATTGCTAACCCCACAACAAGCAAATCAAATGATACATGATTATTGCATGTATGTGTAACAACCTCCTAATACAAATATGAAAAAGCTTAAACTCAATAAAACTAAGATGGATAATATAAAGGAGGCAAGCTTGAAAGATCTAACAGCCATTTCTCTCTCCTAGCTTCAATGGCTGGTTTTCATTTATCCTTTCACTATTACAGTATTTTCTGTTATGGAAAGTTGTAATGAATATGCAACCTAAGCTGAAAAAGAAGAGAATCTAAATGATCACATAAGTAGCTTTTGAGATAAGACTTCTCAGTACTACTGTCTCCTTAAGGCTTCCTTCAGGCTTGAAATCAAACAGCCTGGCTGTTTTTCAAGTCCTCATTAATGCATGCAAAGTAGTCAGAGATCAGCAGATGGCTATTGCTAAAACCAACACAGCAAGAGTTAATAATTAAGAGTTAATAATTGCCCAATACCCACTTTGTCACTTTTTTATTTGATGTTTTCACAGCTTTGCCTTCTTCAATTCTGTCTTCCCAGTCAGGGCAAGAAAAAGTCCTTGAATGTTCTGGTGCTGTAGAACTGGAAAATAATGGAGAATTTAATATGAACATTTGTTGCTTGTAACAGAGGAGAAACTTCAAGTTGTGGACAAAACCAGTTCCACAACTGTAAAACCCTGGGCATGCCCCTACTCTATTTCAGTTCAAAGACAAAAAAATTAAAACCTTTCAGTGTTGTGATGCAAGATTATCAGTTTTACTTTGCAGGTAAAGAAAACGCTCATGAATTTCCTGTCAGAACACAGACCTGACTATTTCCTAATACACTCGAACTCAGTTAACCCCTCTCCCTACTGCTTGAGGGCCTCCCCAGAGAGCACAAGTCATGAAACTACTTTAGGCCAAATCATCTAGTTACTGCTCTCTCCCAGCAGCAAAAGACTTTGTAAAGGGCAAGGTTGATGATTCGATGCTCAAGAAACACAGAAATGCCCATCACATCAGCAGAACTAAGATTTTGCCAGACACCATCATATCCTAACACAATCATTTGAAGAATGTAAACTGTTGTGTAAAGCCCAAAATGGAGTCAGGAAGCTCTTAACTAATCAGCTGGATCACTGACATTCGCTGAGTGGAGAATAACCAGGTTCTTCATTAACGTAAAAATGTAGTAAGTGACAGTTGTATAATGCTATAACATTCTGAAGCACTGAAAACTTCTTTCAGTCTGTCCACTTCTTTCAGTGCCAGTGCCTCAATATTTAGTGTAAGTAATACAGAAGCAGATTTAGCTTATACTCTTGCTTTCCCTAAACAGTTTCACATCAACAAATGGAACTATCATCCAATGCTGCCAATGTCATTTTAACATAGAACAAAGATTCCATACTAAGAAGGAACATATCTGCTTAGCAGAAAGAAACACAAAATGCTGCTGGCACATTCAGTTTGACTCATAATCACAACATACTGTTAATATTTTTTAATGATAGCAATGACACTGAAAACACCCCTGAATACAAGGGCTTTTGTAAGCTCTTCAATAGATTCATTAGCTAAAGCAATATTAAACTTGCCATCAGAAATGACAACCACCTTCATACAGGGTAACACAGAGATGTATAAATCATATTAAAAAAGTTTTCTGATGCCCACAGTAAAACATTTCACCCCTTCTAACTCCCATTCTAACATAGTTTTCTGCACATATCCAAGCACTCACAACTTCTCATTCTTGGAATATAAAAAAAAAAAAGAAATATCTACTAAAACTGTAGTACAGTTGAAAATACCAAGTGCACTGTCAAGTGAAGAGACAAACATCATGGTCTGCCCACACTCACACATAAAGATGTGTAAGCAAAGTGTAAAAGTGCAACAGCATAGTGGTTCAATGGACATTTTATACTAACATTGAAGACTTCAGCAACTAAGGCGTAAACCACTGCCTCAGAATATGCAATTTCTCTCATTCATATGGAATACTTGCTAATATTATGGCATATATTTCAATTAGCCAAACTGAATTACAGAATCATAGAACAGTTAGGGTTGGAAAGCACCTTAAGATCACCTAGTTCCAACTCCCCTGCCATGGGCAGGGACACCTACTCTTGCATAATGCAGGTAATAATTTTCTAACTCTGTGCTACTGTGTTATTAGAAAGCCTTCAATCACATCCAAGGTTTTGCTGGATTCCTAGAGAGAAGAGTGCAGCAAAGCGAAGGTTTAAACAAATTTCACATTTATTCCTTACCTCTCCAGCCATTGGTCTAAATGTCTACATTGATATTCATCCAACACCAAAGAATCTGAATCATTCCAGCTCCTACATTCCTGTTCTTGACGCCAGCAGTGTGGTTGCACAGAACTAGAAACCAAGAATTTTCATCAGAAATCCAAGTCACTGAACATTGCCTATACAAAATTGATAGGGACAATCTGGGTACCATCGTGTAGTTACAAAATGCTGATTTGGCATGCAGATATGTGATTTGTGCCACCTTATCTGAGCAATACTAAGTTACCAAAGGTGTTAGACAATGCACTTGTCAAGAAAAGGTCTTTGACTAATGAAACTTTTAAATAAACCATTATTATTTAGGTGATTTGCAAACAGAAAAGAGAAAAAAAACAACAGAGGGCTGCCAACACTGTTTATGGAACTGCTGACATGTCAACACTCACAGAATGTTGTCAGCAACACATTATTTGACATTTATATACCATTCCATCCAGTACTTAACTTGCAGAAGTGGTGAAACAAAATCAGCATGTGTAAGAAGTAGGTCAAGCAGTTATGTGGAACACTTTTATACACAAGTAAGCATGGGACAAGGAGCTAGACTAGGGTGCTTGAAACATGCTGGAAGGACAACCAGAGATCGCTTGAAGATTAATAAGAGTTATCTTCATTTTCCTCCTCAGTTCTGGAGAAACTGAGGAAGGAAACTGAGAAGGAGCTCTGACATTTTAAATGACAGGTTACTAAACACAGCACTGTCACAGCACCTACTAACATCAGACCTGGCTTCCGGGCTATGGACCACACCTGCAGGTCCACCTCTGCCTGCCTGAGAGAATAATCCTGTATTACAGACCACAAAGCAAACATACTGCTGTTCCTTCAGTGCAAGTGAACACACTGCTTTGTGTATGCAAGGTCTCTGCAGGTTTTAAGTCAACAAGAGAGAGAGAAGGAAGGTTTTGGTTATTTTAATCTTACATTTGCAACTTATGTTTTCTTTCCCTTCCTCTTTCACCCTGACTGGCTGCCAGTTCCCTGGTCCCACAGGGCTCCAACTTACTGACACACATTACATACGGTTTATTCCCTGCTCCCAAAGAGTTCAAAGTTGCAAACACACAGCACAAATAGCTCACTTCCAATCATGGATCTAGGCAATGGGACACTTTCAACACATTTGGTTTCTGCAAAGCTTAGTCACTGGATAAAACCCTTCTCTAAGCACCCTCAACATTAATCACTCAATTCAAAGACTTGAAAGAAAAGGGGAATGGGGGGAAACACACACCACTTACTGTGCTTTAGGCACAACACTGAAACCCTAGAGAAAAATGCTAGCCAAAAATAACCCCTTTTTATAAGTATTCCAATGTTTCTTTAACCCGCCCGCTTCTGGGTCACCCAAAAAGCAACCCCAGAGATCCCCAGCCGGACCCAGGGCACCTAACCGAAGTGCACACACTGAAGCCTAGGCTGCGGCCTCCAGTTCACTCCGAGCCCAGCTCCCTACCCGCTGCCAGCAGGGACCGAAGCAGCCTCTACAAGGAGGCTCTCCCACTAAGGCCGCCTGCCCGCGGGGCCCAGGAGAAGACCTTTGGTAGAGGACGACAAGCGGGTACCGAGGAGGACGAGGCTGAAGGGGGGGCGGGAAGGCGGAAGAAGTGCACCCTGCGGCCTACCCCCACAACAGCCTTCCCCACAGACGCCCTAAAAGACCAACACCCGCCAGGCCCCGGCCGCCCCGTCTCTCCGCGGTGGCTCCCACCTGCGCAGCCCGCCTGGCTCCTCTCCGCCGCCTCCCTGGCGCGGCAGGCCCCGCTGCCCTCCGAACATGGCTGAGGCGAGCGGCGCCGCCGCCGAGTAACATGGCTGCGCCCGGGCGCGGAGACAAGCAGCGCACATGCGCGGCAGTCCTGACCCAGCGCGGGTGTCTGCACATGCGCACTAGCTGCCTGTGTGGTGACTGGGGGTGCTGAGGTGAGGGCTGGAAGCGGCTGCGGGGCGTTGGGAGCACGAGCAGGCTCCGTTTCCAGCCAAGGTGGTCTGTCTGCTGATGTTCTGAGGTAAATCAGCTCCGGAAAGGGTGTACAGGCACCGCAACGTACACCCCTGAGAAATGGGGCGCATCTTACACCGTTAATGGCATACACTACGTTCTGCTGTGGCCTGTGCTTGTTAACATCCCTTGTCCACGGTAAGAGAATTGTTTTACGTAGGAGACAGCATTGCTGTATGCTAGTGCCCCTACTGATTTTATGACATTCAGTGTTCACTCCTTTCCCCTTTTTTTGTTGTTGTTTTTTTTTTTTTTTGTTGTTGTTGTTTTTCCTCAGATACATAGATTTCACACACCTTCCGTTTATGCCACCCTCTGCATTCAGGTTACAGTAGGAAAGTTCATCAAAGAAGGCATTATCAGGTGCGCCTTCAGGAGAATTTAAGCCCACTTTGTATTCAGCTGTTCTCAGCTAAAACCTATACAGATAACTCAGTCTGATTACCACCCATATAAAGTTATATAAACTGGCACAGGTAAATTTAAAATGAAAACCAAAAGTCATACATAAAATCAATTGTATTTTTATTCAGCTCTTCAGAAACTTTTAAGATTAACTACAAGGATTCATTAAGCCTTTTCCTTAAAGGCTATCCAAATAATTCTGTGTGTTTTAAAACAGGCTAGCTATCCTGGTAAAAAGCAAAACAAGAACAAAACAACAAACCCTGTGATACATCTTTGGAAGAAAATTTATTGTAATGCATGTAAAAGCTTGACTACTTATACCTCAACTCCTTAAATACCTCAAAGTCAACATCTCTTAAGAAACGGCACTCAGAACTTTAGTCAGTTATGTCTTGCTGAGGTGCAGCCTGACTGGAATGGTACATAGCTACAGTTCACCAAGTTTCAACACAATAAAAATATACTGAAGAAATCATATAAGAACCTGGTATTTTGGTTTCAAGTTATGACAAGCCTTGTGGCAAAGGACTGCATTCATCTAATGGATTCAAAATACATTCTGCTTGGTCAAAATGCCTTTTTTTTTTCTTTGTTTAGCAAACTATGTTAACAAAAAAAATCAATGGATAACATTTTGCCAAGATTTTCTGGAATGCTACAAAACCAGAAATAACACAACTGTGGAAATAAATAATACAGCCACAGCCCATGTTTTCAGAAACACCTCTTCAGCTGCAGCACATGGGGACATTTGGGCTCTACATGTATACACACATATGGAGTATTTATACTGACATTGTGCACCCACATATAGCTTGTCTTATTGTAATGACATTACATTTATGTAACATACTTCAGATTACTAACATTGCCCATCCACAAGTCAGTGATGTGGAAAAACATATACACAGCTGAAAACACAACACTAAATCACTAATAATTAAATAAAAATCTTTAAGTATTTTAGCCCATCATATTACTTCTTTTTCTTACAAAGTGCTATAAAAAGACCAACTCTAATGTATTTCTTGTTACTGCAAGTAAAGATCTTCTCTAGAAACAGTCCTATATGTATATGTGGTTCTTTAGATGATGATCTGAAACTACCATGAAGATAAACGTCTATTTTTATACTGTATTATTTTCATATTCCGTGATTTATTCAAGATATTTATCACATTACTCTGCAGGGAGAGGTCACAGTTCCTCTCTCTGCTGTCTCTATGAATATGGACTTTTAACAAGGTGGGTTTTTAACACAGCCTTGAAAAAGCCTGCAAACTTTGGAGGCATGCCAGATCATATTGAGATTTAAACTTGGGGTAAAAATGCTTGTTTTAAGGAATTTAAGCCAGGCACTATTATTAACATAAATCATAATTTGGTTTTGGTAATTATTACTATGTTTCAAGAGGCACTTCTGTGTATAGAGCACTACCATTAACAGACGCAAGCGTAGTATACATTTATGGCTGTTACTTTCTCGCACTGTTATACTGGCAAAAGAAATAAGAGGAGTAAAAGCAAAGTTCCACTGAAATGAAATCTTCCAATTATTTCAGATTAGATTTCTGCAAAAACAAGTCCACAGCACAATAAATCAGCAGACTAAAGCTCGTATTACATGAAATACTATTGGAAACAGACCTGTTTTTCTTGTAGAAAACCATCTGCAATTACCTGCATCTATTATCCAAGTTTCTCAAGGCCTTTACAACTTTAACTTCATGGATGTTTACAATAAATATTTTTATTCCAAATAGGAGAAGAGCTCTAGGAATTGAATGACTGTCAGTGGCCAAACCACAGCTCCAGAATCCTACCCTCTCTTCTGCAGGTGCTTCAAGGACAACATCCCTTCTATCTGTGCCACGTTATGTAAACTCCCAAGAAGTAATGGGTTCAAAATGCTTGTTTGTAAAGGCTGCTGTGTGTGAGGAGGTGCATGTCTGATGACACCACCCAGCCCTGTAAGAATCTTCTCAAGTTAAAAAACTCTGCAGAGAACATTTCAAACTTCCAAATAACTTTCCCACAGACAGGAATACTGGAAAATATTTTAAATTAAATCACAGAGCAGCTCCTTGATTTTTTGTTTAGTTTTCAGGCTTGTCAACAAATCCATCTGAAACTCAGGAACTCAATCCTATCCTGTTCAAGAAGGACATGCCACTTAAGATCTCGTTGGGGAACAGACACATCCATACTACCAGTCTCATGTCAAATTTTAACTCTACACAATCCAAAATAACACAATATGAAAAACAGAAAAATCACTGTTATTAATAGCTACTATAATTGCATAGTTGATGTTCAGTATGTAACAACTGAGACACCCTCAAGCAATTCCATGTCCTTGAACCCAAACAGTTTGAACTTTTAAAAGTGCAGATTATTGAAAAACACCAACACTAGAACATATCTCAAATGATGCTGTTGAATCTGTTCTCAATTCCTTATCCCTCTCCAAAACAACGCCTGCAGCCACATTCATAACCATTTTCCATCTAGCTGGCTCTGAGTGCAGTTTGGTATGTTCACCACATGACCTGTGGCTTGGCTGAGACTAATTACATCTTTCATGCTTCCAGTGCTTGTACAGTTTTTAACATCCTGCCTCTGTGCCTGCTCAAAACAGTTTCCTGCTCAAAACATCTTGGCAGTCAAGATGTCTTCACTTGTAGTGAAGTGTAATCACTTGCCAATACCTAGGGGGGCCTGTAAAAAACCTGGAGATGGACTTTCTGCAAGACCATGGGCAATTTACTAAGGTGATCCTTCTGACTATGCAGGTGGAAGATCTTAGGCTTTTATTCTCTTAGACCAGAGGATCAAAATGCTCCTTTCTCTATTTGACCCAACTGGCTGCCTGAGGTTACCAGCCTGCTAAGATGGACAACCAAAGTAAGCAAATACATGTATCTCAGCCCATGCAGTGCACAGGCCAGTGTAACAACTCACATTCTCTAGCAGCTTGAGGCTTTCCCCCATGAAGTATGCCAAAGAACTGTTCACTTAAGGGTGTGACAGACAGCTAGAAGACGAAGCATTGCATTTAGGTCTAGGAGTAAGGTTCTCTTAAATGTATTGAAAATGCTTTGGGTATAATTTTCAGAATACGCTGATGCAGATCAGATCAAGTGTATATCAGTACCCCACAAATATTAAAACCAGCAACTACTGCTTACGATCAGTCCTGGAATTGCAAGCCTGAAAACGTTTTGCTAATGATAATCATTATTCAGGCATCTAGCATGTCAACTTCTACCTTTGTGATCCTGGCATCAATTTCAGAGGCAAAATAACCCCTCAGAAAAAGCTTATGGGCTTTGGAACAGCTGAGCATTCTTTCAGAGTATTTAGATAGTTCAGATGTTTGCTGCACTCTACTCAAATGTATTAAAAAAACCATGTCCATCACCTAAAGAGCATTGAAACCCTAAGCTATGCAGCTTCTAGCAACCAACAGATTTCACAAAGCATAGCATTAGCAGCGTAAGTAAATGGTGAATGTTTCCAACTCCTTCTGTTGTCTGAAATAAATACATCCATAAAAACATAAGCCAGAAGCAGATTACTGGAATAAAAGGTCCTTGTGGGAGTTACACATCTTCAGGGACTAAATTCTTAGCCTACAGAAAATGGTCCCCCTTCTCAGTGGAGGGGAGCAGCACAAGGAACACAACTGGTATACTTATTCAGTGAATACTTCTAAAGATTAATAAGAACTTTACAAATGGATTGAAAAAGAACAAAAGTATCACTGATATCTAACTAATTTTCTCAGTTAGCCCTTTATTAAAGAATAAAAACCCAAGTTAAGTTTAAAAACTGAAAGAATTTAACCTGTGTTGAAACTTGAAAAAGAGGACAGTACTGTGAATGTAAAGGTATATCCTTATTCAACCCAAGAAGAAAACAAAGTCTGGATTAAATAAAATTCCATAAACTGACATGTAGGGAATAAAACCCAAAGATACAAGTAAAAGTTGAGAGGAACTGAAAAGATTTACATCTATTTTCAACACTGTAAAAGAAAGCTTTGGAGCCTGCACCTTTGTAGAACATGAAGTCTCAGAAACAAATCTAACAGGCCTTTTAACCAAACCCACTCTGAAATAATGAAGTTTAAAAAGTTAAAACATACCCATGTATTACTCATCGTATTATGCAAACATCTAAAATGCAAAATTTGGCTCGGCAAGTTGGACAAGGCACTTGGCTCGACAGCCACGTCTCTGGGCGCTGCTGATCTTGTCGGCTGGCAAACCATTTGCCCATGCAGGTGAGGCACCACATGGGACGACAGTAGCACTGCTGGCACTCCCCTTCGTTTGGCTCCTGGCAGTTCTTGATGAGCTTGATGTTAGCAATAGTCTGCATGCACCCTATGCATGGCTCCAGTTCCTAGAGAAAGAAGAAAACGTCAAACCCTGACCCATGGAGTCGGAGGGCAGAGCCTCAAGAACTGCCCCACCAGAAGATATCAAATAGTTTCAATCTCCATAGTTTTATTAGAACAATTCTTTTATTAGAATAAGGACAAAGTATGTTGAAACAAAAAAAAAACCCAGAACTGCTGCATGAGACTGAATAAATGAAAATGACTGAAAAAAAACATTCTTTCTCTGAAGAGCTCCACCTATTTCCAGAGCACAGCAGCTAGGGCAAGGTAAGCAAGTAGCTATCTTCATCATTTAGACATACTGTTTTTCAAAAACATACCTATATAAAGTAAGGACAATAAATAAAGGAAAAAGTTCTTGCCACTTATTACAGCAAGTGGCTGTTCCTGTCTTCCGTCTTTCTAAGAGACGTAAATAACAGAGGAATTCAGGGCTCTACTCAACACAATGGGCACTCATCTTGAAGGACCAGAAGTTTACTTAATTTTTCTTGGCTAATACTGGAATAATTGCTATTTCCCCACAGTTTATTATGCCACATAAACTTGCAGTTGCATATAGGGAGGTCATTTTGCTAGGAAGTGTTTTGCAAATAATAAACAGTAATTAGCATTTCCCATGTGTCTTCCAGCCAAAGCTCTCAAGAACTTGACAAAAGTGCAAAAGACAGCACATTGAACAGGCATGGAGACCTGAATCCTATTTCATACTGCTACCGATGTAAAAAAAAGCTGCTTTGCTTTGTGGTCTCTAGTTCCCACCTCCAGTGTCTCTTCCCTTGTTAGCTCAAGTGCCTCCCACCACACTGGCAGCTTGCCTGTGGAGCAGATCCAGGTGAAAACCAGTCATATTGCTTTTCACCTTGATCATCTCTCCCAACAAGGTTCACTGCAAAGTCTTGTGTCAACATGGGATGAGAAGCGTGCAGAAAGCAGGACTGCTGCTTTTGGAAGCTGGATCAGCTTTCACTTGTGAAATTACTGTTTCTTTTAGTCTTTTTAGACAGAAAAAACTCCAGCATAGAAAGGTTAACTATGTTTTCCAACTTATTCATAGAGCTTCAAAACAGGGTAAATGCCATGTTGTATTTTAAATGTTTGTATCAATTTCTGATGTTATTTATCACTCAGTGTCAAACCAAAGTTCAGTAGCTCAGCTGACATGTAAACGTGTCACAAATGAAAAGGCCTGAGAAAGCAACTCTCACATTAATATCTTCTCTTTATTTTGAACATCTCCTTTCACTGTACACTGTCGCAGCTACCAAAATGCACAACTACATTACATGCAGGCATATCTGACCCAGTTTGATATTAGCTAGTTCATGTAACCAGACAGCGAAAACACCACGCAAGCTGAGTAAGACTAGTAAAGGTACCAAGTGCTCACTCCATGAGCTGGAACCGCTCACACAGACTCACCACAAGGTCACCAGAACTAGTTTAATTAGTTATCTTTGGTATATTGAACAGTGCTCTAGTCACGCTTCTGACTGCTGCACAAGTATAATAATGACCATGTCACAAATATTACAGCAAGGAGGACTCTGGCATTATTTACAATTAAACCAAGATCCAATTAAGAATCACTGATTAATTTCAGAACAAGATCCAGCAAAACCTGGCTATCTGGAAAAGTACGCTGCAATGGAGCAAACTGCCTAACGAACAGTAACAACAGCTGTTACTCTAGCTCCCATAAACCTTCCGGATATGTAACCTCATCATTTCCAAAAGATGGGAATTATTATAGGGGACTTTCTTCCACTATGCTATTTCTCAAAAATGTCATGCTCACAATACAGATCATCTCCTTACTGAAGGAACGGAAGAAGCAGCCAGAACTATATTACACGTTTACTGAAATGGAAGGTGAGCTCCTGTGACGGATGCACCCACCCCAATATGTGAACAGCATGATGGTCCAGGCACTGCTGAAGAGGAGGCTTGACTGGAGTCAACCCTGCTGTGCAGACCTTGAGCAAGTGTGCTAGGCCAGACCTTCTTGGCATGTTAAGGCATCTAGGCCATGTCTTATTAGGAGCTAATGGTGCCAGCCTGATATGAACCAGACAAAACTAAGACTGCTGCACATGCCCCGAAGGGGAATTTGACTATGAGTCAGTCACTTTACACTACAAATATCTGTACCCCTGAGCCCATTTTGCTATCTTGTGCAGCAGTGGGCTGTATCTCCCTTGAGGTACAAAACCTCTCAAAATTATTCCTCAAGGTTGAGAGATCCCTTACCCAGCCTCCATTATCTACAGCAAGGTAAGCAACATTCTGTATCAGATCTAAGGCATATTGTATAATTACTAGGAGCGTTTGACTGCTGTTTAATTACCATTTAATTCCCTTTGATTACTGTTTAATTACCATATAATAATTATCATTTAATCATCATTCAACCACAAAACTTTTTGGTCAAGCCCTTGACAATGACTTATCTTAAAATTCGTCTTCGAAAGCCCTAAGTTATCAATGACACTGTAATGGCAGGCTCAGCTATACTGAAAAGTATAATGATTAGTCTCACCTGGGTGCTTGGAACAGAGTATGTCTGGTTAATTTCCACCAGAGATGTAAAGGTTTCTAGAAATAAATCACTAAGGCTTTGATGGATCACAACATTAGCTGCATTGCTGATAGGAGCACGGAGCTTTTCTCGGAGCTCCCCATACTCTGTCGAGTTCAACCTGAAGAACAAAAGATGGAACAAAACGTTACCACAATTATCCATTCAAATACCTTGATAGTACATTGCAGAGGTTACCACCAGAGAAGTGAATCCACACAAAAGCTATTTAGGTTGGTACACACTAGTCAATAAATAAGTGTTGACTATTTTGTTTTCTTTTGCTGTTGTTTTTGACACAACAGAACACATGGTCCTCCTTCATACCTGACAGGATATGCCAGAGATTAACTAAAACATACAAAAAATAAAGGAAGGGTTTGAAGTTATCAATATTTAGGTACCTAAATCATGCATTAACTGTAAAATGCCTCACGCTCAATTTCTGTCCACCTTTTTAATTCCAGTTTACTTGTACTACACCTGAATTCTAATTTATAAATTCCTGAGGACAGAAATCAGAGTTCTATCATGTGGCATGTATCACAAGGTGATATATAGTACATAGAAGTATCAAAAAAGTATCAATCAGTATCAGTTTCTGTGGTTTTATGATTCAATTTTAGATGAAACTGAAATTTCATGATGGTTACAAAGAGCTGCTGAATGCAACTTACACTTTGAGTTAAGGCTGTAACAAGCTGCATATCACATTAGGTTTACTTCCACTAAGTAAACTGAGGCCCAAAGACCTCAAGAGGCACATGAGACCTTAGGCAGACCCGGTAGTGACACATTACTGTTGTAACCCCTTTTTATTGAAATGGTTCTGAAGTGTATAGTCAGAATTCCCCATTTCCATGTTTCCCCTCTTAACACAGCTTTCACAGAGAAGCCCTGGGAACATCGCCCTGAAATTCCTTGTTCTTCCTAAAGCCCAGAAAAACGCGATGCTGGCTTAGTTTAAGCACCTGGTGGTCTCCATTGTTTCAACTACTATTGGATACTGTTGTTTGTTAACAGATGCTATTATCTGTGCAAATAACAGAGATCATTCTATGCAGAGGAAAAAAATCACATTGCACACCCAGGGAAATGTGGCCTGACTGCACAAAAGCATTTTTCTAGAAACATCACACTGCATGTAATCTGATTCTGGATATACACAATAATCCTTTATCCTTAGGAGGGGAGTTCTGTCCTATGGCACTTTTCTTAAATCCTGTATGACTGTATTTTAGCAGAGACTTGCTATTTCTGACATAACTTATTACAAGAACTTTTAAACACTGTTCTCGGTGTAGTTCTCTATAGCCACAAAATAAAGTTTTGGGGGTTTGATTTTTTATTTTTTTTTTTCCAAAAAAGGAATTGTCAAAAAAGACATGATTTTCTGAGCTGGGGATGTAGATTTGTCACCCTGACACTGAAGCACTTACAGAAAAAAAATAATTAGTTATTTAATACTTATTTGGTCACCACTCCACAGGTCTACTCAGGATTTTCACGCTTACCTTCACTAGTCTCTCATTCTGAGCTCTGTTCACCTGGGTATCTCACACAACCATGGCTATGCCTTACGAATGCTTGCCAGGACCCCTCTGCTCACCTGCAAGTCTGGAGATCTGACTACTTCTAGTTACATAGTAAATAAGTCCTGCTGTCATGCAACTTCACTGCAAGCAGACACTCAAAGGCCTTTTCAAATATAGTTTTATAAGCACTTAACATGATTTTGTGTACTCAGTTTAATGCCAACTTTAGGGACTTTAGCATCCTTCTATTTAATGTTACAGGTTTCTGCAGAACTTGTACTTTTGCCTAGCTCCACGGACTGCTGAAAAAAAACAGCATGCACCTTTGGAAAACAAGCCCTGACAGGTTGCAGCATGTTTGCTATGATTTCCTGCTATGAGAACATAGAAACAGACCAAGATTACTTCCTTGCTTTAAGGAATTCGGTTTGTAATAGCTCAAAGAGAACGCTTCTGAGCACTGACAAAATTATGAGCCTTGAGCAGACAGAAAAACAGTCATGGATGAAAACCAGCCAGTTGCAGACAAATAACTACTTCTCCTCCCCCAGAATTCAGAAGACCAAAGATTGTCCCTTTCATTCCTGTTCTCCATCTTTCACCCAAGTTTTTCCAGTTCTTTCTTTCTGCATCCAGCACAATCCTCTTCCTAAGAAAGGATCAAACAGGGCAGTCCCTCTGTTTAACCACTGTGCATTCAATACTGTACTTGTACAAATCCTTCTAAACAACCTTTCTTCACAGCACTGTGTGGCAGAACTGCACACACAGCATCTTTGAACACCAGGCAGGGACCAAAAAGGAAGGGACAAGACCTTCGGAGTCTTCAGCTCTGCCACAAAAGCATTTCATTAGCACCATCAAACAGCACAGATGTAACAGTGTAGTTGTTTTACCGGATATCAAATGCCTTCACGTAGGGATTTATACTGGCAACACGGATGGTGAGGAACTGCACAGGCATATTTGAGTCTGGGGTGAGCTCATGCTGTCTGGAGTCTGTCACTGTCAAATGAATGTCCTGCTGCTGGGCAACATGTAAACAGTAGGTGGTCACTTTAATCACCCATGTGTCCGTGACAATCACCCTTGCTCCTGGGGCTCCAGTAGCAAATTTGTCAATTCTCCTAAATTCTGTATTGATGGAAGAAGCTACTGCCCTCCAACCTGACTGCGGGAGAGCATAAACAGCGAGTGTTCGGGCTAATGGATGATTATTCCAACCTTTCCGTGACCAGTAATATGCCAGGGCACTAGTGACTGCTGGAAAGAGAACAGCGAAGAAGAAGAAAGTTTTCCATCCTTTTGAAGCCAGGTAGAAAAAGCAAAGATGTTTTTCAGGTGCAGCAAAGCACATACCAAGGTAATAACCTGCAAGGAAAAAGACTTACTTTCAGAAAGCAATAAAGTACATACATAAATACATACCCTGAAATCATAGTTATCTAACCAGTGAGCTCATCTCCAGAAGAGCTGCTGTACCTCTGGATGACAACTCAAATTCAACCCTCTTGTCATAAGCAACCTAAGGTAAATTGTTACCTGTCACTTATTTTAACCAGAGTTACATAGCTAAATTAAGCTGATTCAAATTTGCAGGTTAAATAAAATCACCCATAAAATGCCACTTTTACCAGAAATATGTATCTTAAGGAAGCTGATTTGAATTTGCTGGTTGAATAAATAACCCGTAAGATGCCATATAGTTTTAGCAGAACTGTATGGCTAAAGGAAGCTGATTTGAATTCACAAGTTAAATAAAATGCTACTTCTCTGTAACTGCATGTATTCAGATGCAGCCAACTAGTTAGAAAGCTCACTGTGTACATCACAAAGAGGTGAGAACAATACTAAAACAGAATCGCAGAATGGTCTGGGTTGGAAAGGACCTTAAAGCTCATCCAGTTCTAACCCCCTGCCATAGGCAGGGACACCTTCCACTAGAGCAGGTTGCTCCAAGCCCTATCCAACCTGGCCTTGAACACTGCCAGGGATGGGGCAGCCACAGCTTCTTGGGCAACCTGTGTCAGTGTCTCACCACCCTCACAGGGAAGTACTTCTTCCTTGTATCTAATTTAAATCTACCCTTTTTCAGTTTAAAACCGTTACTCTTTGTACTATTCTCCATGTCCTTGTCAAAAGCTCATCTCCAGCTTCCTTACAGGCCCCCTTTAGGCTATTCCCAGGATGTATACAGCGTGACGGACTGACCCACGCCTGCGTGCACCGGACAGAGGGGCTCTGCTGAAGACCCTCCGGCTCCCGGCGGGCACAGCAGGACCCTGGCAACAGCTTTTCATCCCCCTCCACCCCGGTGCCTCGCCCGCCGCAGCTGGTGCTCACCGAAGGGCAGGAGGGAGTGCGCCAGCAGCGTGCCGGTGGTGCGCCGCAGGTGGTACTGCACGAAGGCCGCATCCTCGCTACCCAGCCAGGCGGCCAGCAGGCTCTGCACCGTCAGCCCCGCCGAGCGCACCTCGTCGGGCGGGAAGACGAAGCACACGGAGAACACCACGTAGGCCAGCGTGAAGGTCACCGCCGGGCTCTCCATGCTGCGCCCCACCGGGCACGGCGCAGCACAGCCCGCGGCTGGCTGGGAGCCGTAGTTCCGCCGTGGCTCCGGATGAGCGGCCGGCAGTTCCGTTGGGGCGGAGCCGGTAGTGGCCCGGGGGGCGGAGGCGCGGCGGCGGGATGGTCGGGCTTGGCGGAGGTTGCCCGCCGCTGCTGGCCGCTGTACGGAGCCCCGCGGTCGCGGCCTTCACAGTGGCGAGCCCCGGGGCTGTGGCGCCGTTCCAGCAAGGAACCGACCATCTCGCTCAGCTCCGGTCTCTCCAGTGTTGGCCAGGACTCGCATCTTCCGGTAGCCAGCCCTCCCCGTAGCCTCAGGCCTTAGAAACGGCTGGCGACCTGTAAACTAAACTCAAAAGATCCCTGTTGGATGAGGGCATCACCCTGCTAAAGTAGGGAAACAGCCCGTTTTACTTACGGGTCTGAAAAAGCCTTTTCCTTGTTTCTCCTGGGGTATTTTATGTACTATCTTCTTCAGGGAATTACCGAGACAGGGATGTCAGATCTTAAAAGGCATTAAAGAGAGACAGATGTTAGGATCATGCTTGTGCACTTCCAAGCACAGTAAACGGAGAGGCCTGGCTGGGGTCTGTGGTTACTACTGAAGTACAAATAACAACAGCCACAATAATCACCATTTCTCTTAAAAGTGCAACATACCCCCTGCTTGCACCCTGTAATCACCATAAATGCCATACTGGTCTCTTAGAGAATGGAGAAATTGTGCAATTGGAAAAGCACAGCAGAGGAAGCAACGTAACGTTACATGCTGCTACTGACGGGGAAATTTAAGTAAATGGGAAATGCTACCCCCAGCATGTGAAATCCAACAGCTGGCAGATGGGTCATGTGTTCCTGTTGTTGATCAGTAACATGTATTATGAGGACGTACTTGGGGGAGCACAGGGGACTGATGTGTGTATGCTTGAGGGGGGAAGAGCGATAACATGCTCTAACAGCTATGTGGGACAGTAGTGCAAAAGTCCTGAACATGGTGGAAGTTCTTGTGGTTTTATTTATCATTATAGATCTCTGAATGGAAGCAGAATTTAAATGTGGACCTAAAGCTTTCCAGCTTCTAAGCATTAATTTCCGTATCAGCAAATTTCATTTCCCTTAAAGAGTCCTCATGGTATCAACATGATTTCATAAACTCACACAGGACTGACTCTCGGGGGGACACTCTTAAGTTTACTTATATTCACAGAATCATAGAATTAACTAGGATGGAAAAGACCTTTAAGATTATCAAGTCTAACCATTACTTCAGGACTGCCAAGACCACCACTAAACCATGCCATTGAGGGCCTGTTCTACACCTTTTTTGAACACTTCCAGGGACAGCGGAAACTTCCCTGGGCAGCCTGTTCCAATGCTTGATCACCCTTTCAGTGAAGAATTTTGTCCTAATATCCAATCTAAACCTCCCCTAGTGCAGCTTGAGGCAGTTTCCGCTTGTCCTACCACTTGTTACTTGGGAGAAGAGACCGACCCCAACTCACTACAACTTCCTTTCAGGCAGTTGCAGAGAGTGATAAGGTCCTGCCTGAGCCTTCTCCAGACTGAACCCCCCAGGTCCCTCAGCTGTTCCCCATCACACTTGTGCTCCAGGCACTGCACCAGCTCCTTTGCCCTTCGCTGGACCCACTCCAGCACATCAACATCTCTTTTATACTGAGGGACCCAGAACTGAACACAGGATTTGAGATGCATCCTCACCAGTGCCGAGTACAGAGGCATATACTGATATTGACCTCTTATGAATACTGTGTAGGACATAAACACAATTCCTCCATAGCAGGCACCTACAAGAATACTGAGGTCTGCATCTTAAATTCTGGCCCAGTTTTGCTTTGCATGGAAACGTGTGTGTGCTACAGCATAGAGCAGTGAGGATGGGCCAGTGACTGCCAAGCCTTCCCCTGGCCACAAGGCACAGGAATAGTGAGGTGAGCACCCATACGGTGATCCAAACGGGCCTTCGGCACTTCGTTCCATGCCTCTTATTCCACTCCTACTGCAAAAGGGTTTGGGTGTTGAAAATCTGCTTTAATAAGATTTCACGCCAAAGGGCAGCATTATTTACTTCAGGATTTGCAAACACAAATCTCTGCCCCTAGGGACAATAAAGTCCACTGGGGCCCGACCTACCACCTCAGACCCTTCACGAGGAACACCAAACAGGCAGTTTTCTCCCACAGCCGGTATGCGCTTCCCTGAGCGGAGAGGTCCGAAGCGGGTCCGAAGCGGGCCACCGCCACGGACCGCTCCCGAGCCGACGCGTTCAGCCGCCATCCCGGACACCACGCTCCGCTACGCGGCACCCGTCGCACGGCCCACGCCAGGGATAGGGGCTGCTCCCACCCTCCTCCAGGGCGCTCTTGTGATTGGCGGGCTCGTCCCAGTGCCGCTTCCTCATTCGCTGGCCGGGGCTGCCGTTGGAATTTGAAATCCTGTGGCGGCGGCAGGGGGGCGCTGCCCAGCGGTGGTTGCAGCGAGCAGGGTTTCTGCCGGCCCGTCCTTCCCATCGCCTCGGCCCCGCGTTCCCCCGGACTCGCTCCTGGGCCCTGCCGGCAGGTAGGGGTCCTTTGTGGGGGGTAACTTGATTGTCTGTGGAGCTGAGGGCTGTTCTGGTGAGTTTGGGGGGGTGGGTGGGGGGGTGTAGGCTGGAACGGGGGGAAGGCAAACAGCAACTATAGGCTTGGGGCCCCCTCTGTGAGCTTGGGGGTGGTGTGGGGCGGGGAGGGGACGACGACAGGCTCTGGATCCCTGTCTCTGAGCTTGGGGTAGCATAGAATGGGGGCACACATACATACGCAGACATGAACGGGCTCGGGGACCCCTTCTGTGATCTTGGGGCGATGGGGGGCAGAGCAGTTTCTGTCGAGGGGTCTCGGGGTCACTTTTGTGTTCTTAGGACCAAGATACTGGGGGCGGGGGACGACACGGGTTTTATGAGTTTAGGGATGAAGCAGAGTTAGATTGGAGTTAATCGTCGGGGGTATTGGGGTGGAGCTCGGAGCCTTGGAGGTGAGGGGGGCTTTCAGGAGGATCTTGAGAGCATCTGTGTGTGCTTGGAGGGTGATGGGATCTCTGGGTGCCCTTTGACAACGGGGAGGGGAATATACATGGGTATCTGTGTGAGCCTGGGGGCTTTAATGGGGTTGAGGGAGGTTCCAGCAGCCTGGGGGTGTGGGGGTTGTTGAGGACACCCCACTGCATTTCTAGGGGAGTGATGTGGGTCTTCTGTGGTCTAGGGTGACTCGGGAGCATTGTGGGGCTGGGGGAGGGTTGCTGTTTATTTTAACTTAAAGCACAGCTTTAAGGTGCGATGATGGGAAGTGACTGTGCTTCCCTCGAGAGCCTGCAAAGCCTTCTCCAGCCCAGCGTGGAGGAGCCCCTTCGTGGCTGGCTGCCACTGAAGGCCAAGGGCATCTTTTGTTTCTCTGCCATGAGCTGCATCCTGGTTCCCCCAACGGGGTTTCATGGGGTTGGCTGGCCTGGGGCTCCACATCTGTGGCCTCCAGAACTTGGTTTTGGCTAAAACTGATGCAAATTCCCCTTCCTCGAATGATCTGTTCAGGGAAAGGTTGTGATTATGAGTCAGTTAACCAGGAGAGTGTTTATTTCATAGAATCCCAGAATAATCTGGGTTGGAAGGGACCTTAAAGCTCATCTTGTTCCAACCCCCGCCACAGAGAGGGACACCTTCCATTAGACCAGGTTGTTCCAAGCCCCATCCAGCCTGACCTTGAACACTGCCAGGGATGGGGCAGCCACAGCTTCTCTGGGAAATCTGTGCCAGTGTCTCGCCACCCTCACAGTAAAAAGTTTTTTCCTAAAGTCTATTTCTCAGTTCTGTCAGCTTAAAGCCTTTCCCCCTTGTCCTGTCACTATATGCTCTTGCAAAAAGTCTCTCTCCAGATTTCTGAATTGAGATGTTTGCACTGAATATATATATGAGGTGCTTGCACTGAAAACGTCTATATATAGGCCAGCTCTGCATTAGGTTGTATGGAAGTATTCACAGCACATGCTATTAGTTTGTCCATGAGCAGGTGCCCTGCATCTGAGTTTGTAGAAGTGTTCAGAGGGTAATTAAGTAGAAAAATTCTGTCTTTGCCCTGCATGTTCTGTGGCTTATTTAGGTATTTGAGACCAGGATGTTGTGCCCCAGTTCTTTTTAAACAACAGGTAGTTGCCATGAAGACCACAATCTACAAATGATAGGTACCAGAAGTTTAATTATCTGGTGCCATTGAATTTATGTCCATTCTCGGATACAGAATGAAAGACTGCTGCTTGTGCCTGGGTAAATATCATTCTGAAACTAGGAGCAGTTTCATTTTTGTGAGCTTTGATTTGCCATAGTGGGAAATTTGCTGCCTTTCACAATACCTGCATACCTTCAACACTGACCCCTTTAAACAAGAAGGTGTCTTTCTTAAAGCCTCCCTTCCCCTTTCAGCTTAGCACAAATACTAGCTAATGAACTTGTGAAATACAATTTAGAGCCTATCTTGGTTATGAATATTTTAAATAAATGTGAAATTACTTTGATTTAATTGTAGAAAGGCATTTGGTTCTTTAGTTTTAATATATAAAATGCTGGGCAAATGTCTGTTTATATGGTGTCAATTTATTGGGTATTTTAATGATCAGAATCTGGTTTACAGTGGTGCAGAAATAGCTTAATGACAAACCTCTCCTGCTTATGAAGCTTGTTTTGGCAGGTGTTGACAACTTTATGTCCTAGTCTGCATTTCTTAAAGTAACTCCAACAGACACGTACAACTTGTAGAGATTCACATGGTCTGCTGTCTCAATGTTGATTTGGAATAAAGGAAAGCAACAAAGTTTGCTTCAAGTTCTACAAGTTAATGTAAAAATACTTTATGTATAAATTAACTTGGGTTAAAGTATGAATATGATGAAGAATAAATGACTGAAGACATAGCTAATATGGGCATGCTTTGCTTGCCATGGCTTCTGTAGCCATTGTTTGCATTCCACTGCTGATTAAAAATGCTTTGCAGA